TTCAGCATAAACTGCACGATAACGTGCGAGGTGTTTACAATGTTCATGACAGCTGTCTTGAGCTGAGCGGGCTCCATGCTTGCCGTGGTATGGCGTCTGCACTGTTCACCCAGGAAAAAGGCGTGAAACGGTTGTCTGCCGTTGCTTCCCTGGAGACGGGGGAGGATATACCTAGAGCCACCCGCGACAATGCTTTTGGCCCCATCAGGCTTTGGGATCTTAGAATTCCAATGGGCGGAGGAGACTGCGGGAACTATGGGATAGCTATGGGATAGCTACCCACAGTGCAATGATCCGGAAATGGACGCTAGCCCCGGTACATGGACGCACACCACCGAATTAATGTGCTTAGTGTGGCCGCATACATTCGACTTTATACAATCTGTTTCCAAAATTCTAATTATATAAATTCGGATTAATCCTGTAGTGTAGAGTGGTAGCCGTGTTAGTCTGTATCAGCAAAAAGAACGAGGAGTACTTGTGGCTTCTTTGCAGCCACACTGCATTGCAAGCTGCCTGTCTCCACATTCAGTCTCTTCCAGACATTCCTGCTTCCCAGGTTCCCCCTGCCACTGAGTAGCTGAGTTTGGGATTATCTTCCTCCAGACATATCAGCAGAAACTTTCCAAAGTTGAGTTTTACTCTGCTGTTTCCTGCCCACGGGTCTAATCTCTAGGCCCTTTTATAGTTCTCTGTATTCCCTGAAGTTGGCAGCTGCCAACAATTTAGTGTTATCAGCAAGTGTCATAGCAGGTTGTTCAATCCCCCTTCTGGATCATTAATGAGGAAGTTAAATATAATTGGGCCTATTATTGACCCCTGCACTCCCACCCCCTTTGTCTCCCTCTTGCTCTCAAGTCTATGTGTATAGGTTGGTGCCTGTCATCCTAGTATCTGAATGACTTTGCTTCTTCTCACCCCATTCACTATGCTTGGATTAACGTTCCTCTTCCAGGGGGCCAAGCAGCCTTGCTCTCCTCTTCCAAATCTCTCCTTGTGGTTCACAGTCTACCACTAACCTCCCACCCCTGCTCCTCCCAGTGCCTACTGGTAGCCCCTGTTCCTGGGAAAGGGGTAGCAAGGAGATCTTCTGAGACCCACCCAAAGAAGGCCTGGAGTTTGAGGCTCCATGAGAGTTCTTGGCACAAGCATGGGAGGAAATCAGTCACCAAACTCACATCGGGTCTCCGCTGACACTGGGGGTGGAGGACATTCACCAAGTCTCCACTGTGGGTAGAGTTATTAGTGACACAGGAAAACCAAGGGGAAACGCAGCCCCAGAGAGCCTGCTGGGGGCTGAATGCTTTTATGTGCATGCGGGAGGGAAGGAAAGTGTGAGGGGATCAGAAGAGAAACACTTTGATCTTGACTTTGAATCTTTGGCAGTTCCCAGAACTCCCCCTCCCCCACCACCTGCTGCCAGGAGTTTGCCCAGCATTACAGGACATGGGCTGGGATAAGCTGGCATCTCCCCCTCCTGTCCAACAGCAGGGAACTGAGCTGTGTGCATCACAGTCACCTCTAGGGACAGCCCCCCCAGAGCAGGAAACAGACCCAGGACCAGGGTTAAATCAGTCCGATGGCAGGCATCCTGTGCAAAAAAGGGGTGGGGGAAAAGGGAACCCAACTGGGCAGGTACCTTGAGCGAGGAGGGCAGGGAGCCTAAGAGTGCAGAAGCCCCGAGCATGTCATTGGAAATCAGAGGCAGTGATGAGAAAGCCATTTGGGTCCCATCTCTATTATCCCAGGGCAGGACTGTCCCTCTTGTACACGGACCAGTGCATTTTCTGCTCTGAAATTACTCAAGTAATGGGGCCTCCCCCTCCTGCTCACGTTTCCCTGGAGGGACAAGTCTCCCCCCTGAGCTAACTCTCTGAGCAAGGGTTTCCCCTTCCTTCTTTCTTTCATTGCATCCCATTACCCTCAGTCCCAGCCCCTGGTATCACCCTAATTAGTTCTTCTCCCTCCGGAAGGGTTAACCCCTCTGATGTTAGTTATCCCTCCCCTCTAGTCCTTACTTAACCCAGCTACACAGATTTAGCTCATTAAATCTTTCCCCATAATTCAATTGCTCTAGGCCCTGAGCCTTTTTGTTGCTCTTCTCTGAACTCCCTGTATGTAACTCAGAGGTGCCCAGAATTGAACACAATATCCCACCAGAGCTGTACAGAGAGGGGCTCTCACCCCTCTGTCTCCTGACCTGGGGCCACCGCACTGACCTGACCCAGATTTTGGGGCAATCTGCAAACTCCACCCTACTTGCTGCAAACTCTGCCCACTTCCCAGGTTTCAGCTTCCCTGCAGAACAGCACATGAGTATCAGGGGAGAAGCCAAACCACGAGAACAGATGTGCAGCACCCTCAACACCCATAGACTTCCATGGGAGTGGAAGGAGCTCAGCACCTTGCTGGGCTGAGCCCTGAGAAAGGCAAAGAACAAAATCTATTCTTTAGAGAAGGGCTGAGTGAGACGTGCGCTGAATCCATTCAGATCAACTCAGGCCAAATCCAGAGCTAGAAGAATCACCCGAGCAGCAGCCTGACCCACCCAGAACAGAGCCTGGCTCTAGCTGTGACACACAGAAGATTGGGCAATTATATGACATCCCACAGCCCAGTCCAAAATCAATCGGTCTCTGTCTTCCCCTGAACAATGCTGGAGTCAATGAGTGACTCGGACTTGCTCAGCCCAAGCTCCGTTCTGGAGGGTCCCCTATATCTGATCCTGTGAGGGAAGTTGACTCTGCATTGGAGTTGGTGGGTGGGGGGAGGAAAGTGCTTTCTTCTTATTTGGGGGAGAGTGTGGAATGTGTTAAAACATGCCCCCCCTCCCCTTTTCAGGCTCTGTCAGAGTCATCACATTCCAGTGACACAACTACAAACGCCCCTCCTTTAACAAGAACCCAGCTCTATGCCCTGCGGACACTCCTCCCCCATTTTAAAAACACCAGGAAGAGTTACAAATATCTATTGAAAACTGGACCAGTTTTCTGCACAGAAATGCTTGTGCCGATGGTATAGAGCAGACAGGCCTGACTTGCAGCATGGCAGACAACCCAGCATGAGAAACTGAGCCCAGCTGGAGTCTGCGCCCCCTGTCCCAGGGCTTGTTTGAGGAAGGATGGGCTGCAGCAGGCAGGTTAAAGCACAACAGCTAAACCACAAATGTCTTCATGACCTATAGCAAAAAAACCCAGCCTCCTCAGAACCAAGTAACAGAGAGCAACAGTGTCTCCCCCTGACCTGGCCCGGGGACCAGGCGGCACCAAGCACAGAAAAACACTAACTACTTGTTTATACGCTGCAAGCCTGTGTGTGCAGTGATCTGCATAACAGAACTGCTCAGGGGTGTCTCTTTGTGTGCTTTCCAGCTCCCATGTTAATCACTGATCCAGCTGACTCTGGATTTACCAATGTCCCAGCGCTGTGAGCCCAGCCTTGCAAATAGAACCAAAATGTTACAAAGAGAAGGGTGCATGAGAACATTGTTAGAGTGTCTGTGGGTGTAAGTATGTGTAAGTCCTAGGGAGAAGGGAGCCAGCCAGGCTGCCAGGGAGAGGTGATTCTGACAGTCAGGGTGCTAGGGAGAAGGAAACTGGCTATGCAGCTGCCCAAGGTGTCAGGGAGAAGGGGAAAGAAGAACAGGAGTACTTGTGGCACCTTAGAGACTAACAAATTTATTAGAGCATAAGCTTATGCTCTAATAAA